AAATAGGATGATGGATAAAACAATGTCATCATCGACATGATGACTAGATTTAATATTATTGTCTTTTTTTCCAAAGCATACATCAAAATAAATATTAAATGTAAAAAATTATAACTATGGAAATCAAAACTAAAGAAATCTATAAAAGAATTTGTATTCAAATAAAACAAAAAGCATTTATTATTATATAACAAAACCGAATAATAGGTTTGAACAATATTTACGAATTTGATTTTGCCTTTACGATTTAAAAAAAATCTTGAATTCTTCTTCATTTCAAGCAGCAAAATATGTTCATTTGATTTATCTATGATGGATATATTCGAGTATTTTTCCTCTCGAGAGACTATCTCGATGATCTATTGTAAAAACTTTTTATTTTATGATGAATCTGACATGTTTTTAATCATGTTATTTTTGAAAGTTTATCTACTATGATATGTCTATATAAGATAAATTTCTTTCTAAGACAATTTTAAAACAAATAAAAAATACAACAGATATCAATATATTCAATGAGTTTTTCCTGGAAAAAATTCATTTTAGTAAAGTAGGCCATCAGTTTATTAAACATCACTGAAATGATAAAGATGAATTTGTAATTGTCGATATATTTATCATTTCTTTTTCAGTCTTGTCTTGTTCTTCATGATTAGTAACATATGAATGACATTCGGATTCTAAAGAAAATTTAGTATACGAATTGAGAAGATAAATAATTATAAAGAGAAGAGCAAATAGACAAGTACCAACAATATCAATTATTAATTCATTATGAAAATCAGATTGAGTAATCATTGAAGATTAATTCTCAGTAAAATGATTAATTATTTCTCACAATGAAACACACAATTGAAAAGCGCTTTATTTAAAAAAGATCATTATCGAAAAATTCCACAAATCAGTTAAATTTATTATGAGCAAATAAATAAATGTTTGAAAAAAAACAAGCACGAAATGAAATAATAACCTATGTTAAAAACATTTTATGTTGATTATAATTAAAAGTAATATTTCATTTCTAATCTATTTTTTCTTCAAGTAAATATGAAAAAGAAACAAAGCATTAAAAACAAACTATATCAATGAGAAAAAAGTTCGTTATTCGTATAAGATTGTATTATATAGGTATATGTATATATAATGAGATTATAGAAAAAACAATGATTCATGCAGCTGGTGCACGACTATGATATTGAGAAAATTCCTTTTCTGCTTGGGGCATCCATGTTTGAAGTTGACCAATACGTGTATTATGTGATGGATGATCGGAAAGAAATTCTGGTGGAGAACCTTTACCAAGTTCTTCATCCATTCTTTGCCAAAAAGCAATTGCTTCTTTTGGCTCATAACCAGCACGAGCCATATACAATAAACCAACATGATCAGCTTCAGATTCTTGTTCACGAGAGAATGGCATTGCTGATCCATATTTTGCACCAGCACCTAGTGCTGCCATTATTGTCTATTCATATTTATTAATTAAATTAATAACGAAATAAAAAATAAGAAAACCTGTCTTTGACTTGGATCCATTTGAGCGAGACTTCCTTGTACACCACCTAATATAGTTTTAGTTATTTCAGAACGAAAAAGTCTTTCGGCCCCATGCCTTGAAGTAGCATGAGCCATTTCATGACCAAGTACAGTAGCTAGTCCTGCTTCATTTCTTGCTATTGGAATAATACCCGTATAAACGACGATTTTCCCACCAGGTAAACAAAAAGCATTTTTTTCATGTGATTGAATAACACTGACCTAACAAACAAAAATTTTAAAAAAAGAAAAAGAATGATATTTATCATATTTAATGATAAATGCATACTTCCCAATTGTAATTAACAGCTGATTTTTGAGCAGCTGCTTTGGCAAGTTTATTTGTGACTTTTTTAACTAAATCAACTTCAGATCCACTTTGAACTATTTTCGATGCTTCATCTTTTCGTACTTGAGCATAAGCTTCTATACCTAATTGAAGTTCTTGTTCAGGATTAAGAGCAATTCGAGATACTCGACCAGTTTCAGGATTCGTTATTTTACTTGCTGTAAACAATTTAAAAAGAACAAAACCAAGTGCCATCATTATTGGAACCAATGTTAATGGTAAAGCATGTTTTCGTTCAAGTTTTACTGGCATTTTTATTTCTGAATATCCTAAAAACCTTTAAATTGATTTATTCGAAATCTTAATACAATAAAAAGAACAATAAATAAACACTGCCGAAGAGTTCTGTATTTATCATATAACTTAGCAATGAAATAACATATCGATATTGTCTTTGTTTTTGTTCGAAAGAGTGATATATTTTCTACTAAAATATATATCAAAGAATTGTATCGAAAATGTTCGCTTAAGGCTAAAAAAATTCTTAGAAGCATATTTATCAAGAAACTCTTTTGCAATATTCAGTCGTCAGTTTTTATCGAAACATATTGCTAGAATATGTTTCATAATTCATTTTCGATGGTTTTTACCATCATATATTAATGCAAATGTTTATAATAACGAATAATTGCGTCTCATATTAAACGAATTTGTCTAACGTACAAGATACTCAACAAAAGAACAGTTTAATAAAACATTTAATCTTATCATTTACAAGATCAGTAAAACTATTGTCTGAATAAGTGACAGAAAATATGGGTTCTATTAGAAATACAATTATCTTCGTTTTTCATATAAAAGTTAAATATTATAATAAATTCTCTCTCGAAATCAATTTTGTTTTTTGTCGAATTAGAATAATATTTAATATCGACCTTCATAAAAACACTTTGAATATTAATTTATTCTTTTTTGATAAAGTACTATTAATCTATCCTTACGCTATTAAATGAGAAAAACATAAACGAATATAAACACAAACCTTTGTTATTCAAGATATTTTTTTCTGCATAGAAAAAAGTAGCGAAAGAGTTTCTCGATAGGTTTTCTTCTAAGATAAAATTTATCTTTGAGAAACATTTTCAATAAAATCCTTTAATATTATATTTGACCTTTCCAACAAAAAAGGATCACCTCAGTAAGTTATTGTATTCAAATGGTACTTAGAAAAAACGTCATAAACGTCGAATTTTTGCTCCGATCAATTAAGACGAAAAAAATTCTTTTTCTCAATCGAATCAACACATAGAGTAACAAAGAAAAACTTCTCAACAAACAATTAAAGACAATAAACAACTTGTTTATTAAATTCTCTTCGATAATGTTATATATAGAGAAATAAATTAATTTCATCTATTTTTTATACTGATGTGATTTAATAAAAACTTTAACTTTTAATATCTGGTTGAAAATATTTCTTTTTCTTTTTAAAGTAAATATTTATTGACATAATCGGCGTGGTTTTCTTTTCGTTCTCTCTAACACAAAATACATATTGTCTTTTCCTGTTTGAATACCTTTGGTTTTTAAAGACGAGCAAACAAGTCAATTGAACAAATACAAACAAATAAACTGATAGAAATGAGAAATGAACATTGGTCAAACAATTTAACAATACTCATAAAGAAAAAAAGAGATTCGTCAACAGAGGCCACTAAACTCTATTATCGACTAAATAACCTCGTTATATCTATTACTTGTTATTAGATTCATTGAAATAGTTAAAAACAATATAACGATTGAAATTTTAATTAAATAATAATCAATAATATTCTAAAATGAAACTGAAAATAATTTAAAGAAAAAAAAAAAATTATTGCAAATATTTTTTTCATATCAAATAAGCAATCAAATTAAATTGATATTCAATCGAAAACCATTATCTAGATTTCCTTTGTTACATCATTTATTCAAACTTTTATCGACGAACATATTTTCTCTCAATTAATTTATCAAATATATGAGAATTTTCTGTTAAATCATTCTTGAATAGAAGTAATATATCGAAAAACAATCGAAACAAATTCATTTATCTGGTTAGGTTTGTTTTAACAAACATTTTCTATTCGATTAAATATATATTTAGTTTGACTATTTTTCTTTTTCATGAATAGTTTATTTTAGAATGTAAGATTAAATATTAAAAGAGTCACAAAAAAATTCTTCAAACAGAATATCTAAAAATAAAATGATGCTCACATAAGAAAAATATTCGAATAAATTCATTAAAATAATTTTTAGTTATTTTTCAATCAATGCAAAAATTGTTTCATTTGACACTATCATTCATATGTTATTTATTACTATTATAATTATTTAATTCATATTTTATTAATAAAAGTTTTATAAAAGAAAAAAGAAACAAAAATAAATTCGTGTAATGAAATTAATATATAAAATATAATAAAAGACTATAAATTTAGTTGAATAAATCATATGATTTGTGTAAGAGATATTTTTCGATTTTATTTGAAAATCTATACAATATAAATGTAATTAACTATCAAAATCAATGAAATCATTTGTTTATTATTCTGTTGTCTAATTTATTTTTAGTATATTCAAAATAACTTTTCACTTTTAAATTCAAAGAAAAAAAAAAAATTTTTATTGAACGAATTAAAATCGTGTATAAGTTACTGTAAATAGGAAATAACAATTGTTCGAAATTATTTTTATCATTTATTAAAATGTATTCAAATAGAAAAAGTGCGAAATGGACTTGAATAAATACATTGTTTATTGTTAAATATAAAGATAAAGAAAACGAGAGGGCATGACCTCACACTTTTTTTCTTGTTCTCCATTCTTTTTTTTTTGTTTTTTTTTGTATATCCGTCAGTCAGTTAAGATTTTTTCAGTAGCTAAGATTTGAATGCAGATGGTTGACCGTTGTATAATGTCAAAAAAGATTGGATAAACAAGAAACGAAAGGAAAATCATTGTTCTATAAATCTCTCTCTCTTTCTCTTTCTCTTTCTCTCTAACTGTTTGTCTCCCTGTTCTGTCCGTTTCTATTTCTATATAAGATAGATGAATCGATCATTTTATGCTGAGATTCATAATCGCTAAATAAGTTTAGTTCATTGATTAACTGCATAAGATAATAAAAAGAATGTCATTAGATCCATTATTTCGACGAATGACAATGATTGTTGCTGTGTTAGCTTTTACTGGCTTTTTACTTGGTGCTATTTCAATGGTAACTAATTATTGGACTATTGGAAATCTCCCACCATCAGATATGCCAATTCCAATAGGAAATGGAACTGTTATTAACACTGAAAATTTTGATTTGGCATGGAATGTAAGTTATCATTTGTTAATATATACATAAAATTAAAAAAAAAAAACTTTTCTTTAAAAGGGTTTATTTAAAATGTGTACATCACGTGCTAATGTTGCATGTGTAACACAATTTTGGAGAACAACATTTATATTATGTTTATTAGGTTTAATATGTTTATTAGTTGGTGGAATATTTTCTGTATGCGAAATGTTTAAAACAAGTGATAGACGATTTGCTATACCAATGTTATATTTTGTTGCTTGTGTTTTAATGACAGCTGGACTTTTTGATTATGGATCAATGGCACGACTTAATTATCATTCATCACGTTTAATGATTTCTGCTATTGTTTTTAATTATGCTGCTTTACCTATGTCAGCTTTTATTGCAGGTCGTTATTCAGCATATGATTGTTATATAAATAATGGTCATGTTCATAATGGACAAAAATATGTACCTGCTGCAACAAATGGAAATTAATATAACAAATCAATCATCAACATCATCTTTTTTCGTTCATGTAGTTTCGGATTTTTCTTCTTGTTTTTGCTTTTTTTCTGTAAAGTTTTCTCTCGGAATCTCATTGTCATCCAACAATTAACTAGAAATCTCAAATTTATTAAATAAATATCGGATAACATCGAACTATTCATAGCTTTTCTATCATAAATACACTGAAAAAGTTCTCGAACAAAATTATTGAAAAAAAAAAAAACAATGAAAAATAAGATTCATAGAAGGTTATTATTTTGTAAAATAACTGTTCAGGGATCATCGTCATTGAATATTTCTCATAGAAAGAATATTCCACTAATTTGAATTGACAAAATATGAACAAGAATCAAAAATATAAAAAGTTACGATTGCCATTTGACAACTCTTATCCAATTCAAAATAAACAGCAGGTTACCAAATTTCATATAACTTTCGATAGGAACGACATGAGAAGATGCGGTTTTCACCATTCGAAAGAGCGATGTCAGGGCCATCAATTGGTATAGAAGTAATTAAGACAAAAGATGCTTTGTTTTATAGATATCTTTGGATCAACCCTTTTTCATTTGAGCATTTTCACAATAATATTAACTCAAATTATGTCGAAATGTGTACTTCAAGTCACCTTTTTTTCGCTATAATTTTATTACATATTTCGTTATCTGTCAACCTCTTATCCTAAGCAAATTAATAAGGATAAATGTTAATTTTATAGCGAAAAAAGGATGATTTGAGCTACATTTTGACATAATTTGAATCGATATTATTCTGAAAATTGATGAAGATACTCAAAGGAAGAAATGTTGATTCAAAGATACCTATAAAAAAGTATCTTTTGGCTTAATGACTTTCATATCGATTGATGGCCCGACCATCGCTCTTTCGAATCGTGAAAACTGCAGTTTTCCATCTCGTTCCTATGAAAAGGTATGCAATAAGTGGTAATCTGCTTTTTATTTTGAATCGAATAATAGTTTTGCTGTTCGTTGTTGATCTTAGTGGATTCAATAATAACGAATAATAGATTTATTTTTATTATCTCTTTTTTCCAAGTTTTATGTTAAAATAGATTTAAGAAATGACTTGTATGAGAGTAAAAGAAGAGCATTCAATCGAATGAATAAGCGGTTACTGAAGCGAATGCTGAAATGTAATTAACACGGATAATTTTTCATTATTTATTCTAATACAAATCGAATCATTAGACATTTTTCGATTCTAGACAAATTAAAACTAATTTTACGAAGTTTTTTCATAAATTGAATCTTTCGGTAGAAATTCATTCTTCAAAGACTATTTTCACATGAGTTTTGCTTTTATTATAGAGCCTTTTTATAAAACATTTTGTGTTTGTGTTGAGTCATTTATGTCATATGCTCATGTTTGCCGTTGGAAATTTTTTTTGAAAATTTCTTCTATTAATCATATAACTTTTTATTTTTAACGAAATAGGAAGTCAATTACATACGTAATTTATTGTCTTATAAAATTCTTAAGATATTTTATCAGTAAACAATCGTCAGATGTTTTTAATATTTATGAATATTATCTATTCTTTGAAGATAAGTCCGCAAGTGCCCAATCGCTTTTCAATCAAGACTATGCGCATATCATCTAGGCTCTAATAAACTATTTATACATTGAAAGAGGTTCGAGCCTTAGTTTATTTCTGTCAAGGTATTTTGTATTTCGATTGTAGCTTTTAATGGAATATCATGGTCTTCTTCTTCAGTAACACCGAAAATGATGACTTCACAATTTCGACTTAAACTTTACGTGTGAAATAGGATTCAACAAATAAATTTTATTGCGACCGTTTTACGTTTTTTTCCTTGTTTGTATTATGAAATAAAAAGACTGATATCTGTTGATGAATAGTTGCGATATAAAAGGAAAATCATATGTTTTTCTATTGTTAGTCATATGTTCAGATAGAAATAACTAGAAGACATGCAATTTTCACAAGAAGTTATCTCATTGACGTCTATTTCTGTGCTAAATTTCAAGTCGACATTTGAAAGTAAATTATGAATTAAGGTGGTGAAATAAAATTCAATAGATTTGAAATGATTGCAGAAAGAGCAAGTTTTATTTAAGATATTGATTCAATAGAGAAAGTCATTTGAAAATTTTGAATTCTAAATGTTTGACAAACTTGTTTTTATTATAAAAATCTTTTTCTTTTTCTTGTAATTATAAAAATCAATTAAACATATTTATTTCGAAAAATCAAATATTTTGTTTTTTGAAGATGAAACATTGCATGTTAAAAGATTTTGAAAATGAAAAAAAGATATTTCATTTATTATTTTCTGTTTCTATGAATATTCGAAACGATATATATTAATTTATTTAAAAATCCATCAAGAATGTACTCAATGTTTTAATAGTGAGATGAAATTGAAAGAAATAGAAAACATTCTTTATTTAATTAAAAATTTATTTTAACAAATAGAAAAGAAAAAAAACGAAGATGAATTTAAATCAATAACATTCTTAGAATAAATTCAATGTCAAAATAACAATTTTTCTATGGTTGAAAATAAGTCGAATTGTACTTTGTACAATGATCAGATAAAGCATCAACTCGTTTAATTGAGATATTATTTTTAAGGAATATTTGATGATAATAAAAATGAATGAATAAATTCTTGTATATTAAGACTATTGAAATTATGATATTGATAATTGATTTCATCACAAAGATATTTTGTTTGAGCGATATTTTTCTGTCCAACTTGAATTATATGTCCAAGAATAAATAACTTTTTAGTACGTTCTTTAATATAATTTATATAATGTTTTTGATTTCCACTTGAACTAAAATCATCACTACCATCAGTAACAATATAAATTGATTTTCTTGTAGAACTAATTAGAATTTGATTTAATTTTTCAAATTTTTCTAAAGAAAATTTCATAGCATCAAATAAACTTGCTTGTAAAGCATTTGGTTGAAATTTTTCAAGAATTTCTAAATGATGTTGACGAACAGTTTCAAATGGAAAATGTTCTTCAGGATATTTATCAAATGTTATTAATGAGACTTGATTTTTAGTTAATTTTGATCTAAATTAGAATTTTCTTTTTTTAGAATTTTTTTTGTTTAAATAAAAAAATAAATTTTACCTTCGTTGAAAAATTTCTTTTAAAAATTGAATAGCTATTTGAAATTTACTTGCACCAAAAAGACCAGTCAAAGAATCTGAATACCACATTGATACACTTCGATCTAACAAGAATATTTCATAAGTACTTTTCATTGATTGATAATAAACATCTACAAGTTTTTTAATATCATCATTTTCTAATAAGCAATTTTGAGATACAGGAGCATTACAATATACTATTGGACAACGATCATATTGAAGAATACATTGACGATCAAATGAATGACCACATGAACAAACAACAATTGGATTTGTATAAATTTCTCCACATATATAACATTTTAAATCATTTATATTTGCTTTTGTTGCCATACAATCTTTTATTATATTCACTTATCTGTCTTCACCTATCTTACACTTTTATTTGAATAAAAAAGAAAAAAAATGTTATGTTTTCTCTTTATGAGTCATAATTGACAAATAATCAAAAAGGAAGAATCCAACATGAGTTATGATATATTTTTCAACAAAAATTTACTTTATATGTATAAGATGTTTGCTTTTATTTCCTATTGATGTTATTTTTATTAAATTATTTTCTTTTATGAATTGGCAAACAATTTTACAATATAATCTTGAAAAACAATATTCACAATATAAACAAATAATTTATTAGAAAATGCTTAATGACAATAGAAAATAGGATTTTCATTATGAATGGTTTAAACTATTTTTTTTTCTATTGATCTTTCATTCAAATAGTTCACTATAAAATATCTTTAGCTAAGGATTAGTAGACATTGTCTCATGCACTATTTAACAATAAGATAGAATATATTTCCATATTTATTTACGGATAAACAATAATACAGGAATTTTCTTAAAGTTTCAATTGCTTTCTTCTTTCCTCGATAAAACAAAATGATATCCGCGTTTAAAATTTCTTGTTAATTCGTTTTCATGCTTTAGAGTCATATGTTAGTTTACATAATCCTGTTTTATTCGAATTTGACTAGTAGAAAGAATTTATGACGAATGAAAACCAAATGGGCAAAGTACACTGTAGCATTGTTGTCTTTAAGAACGAAAGTATCTATGAAAAAAGCCTTTAGTAACGAATTGAAGTTGAATTTCAAGAGAGAAATTTTTATTTATTAACTCTTAAGAAATCTCTAAAAGTTTTCTTTCATAGTTTTCATCAGAAGATATTTATTTATTCATTGAAGAGTTCCAGAATATTTTTTTAAATACTTATATAAATTCTCTATTTATATTTGACTTAATAGACTTCGCAATAAAATAAAAGTAGATATGCACTGAACCCAGACTCTATAATTTGGTATTCAAAATGAACAGTTCATCTTCAAACTTTACTTCGAGAAATATTGAACGAGTTCAGATAGTATTCAGTATTTAGGTAATTACCCAAGCATTTTTTGATGTATGTAAGCAATCACAGAAGCATCCTATGATTCGATCAAGTTTGTGTTCGATTATTTCCCAACATCGTTGAGATTTTTTCTAATGTGTGTAGATGTTCAGTTTTGAATAATTTATTCTACTGCGTAAAGATTTATCATAATTAACCGTGAAATTTTTTTCGTTAATCTTACTTCTACTTCCTTTTATTAATCAAGTAAGAACAATTAAATTCAATGTCGAAGTCGAATATTCGGATTGAGTCTATACATATATTGAGGTACTAGTGAAATAATCATATTAGTTTAGATATCAACAAAATTTGATTAATTTGTCAATGATTCTTTCCATTCATCCGAATTACAATCACATAGAATATTCTTGTCTACGTATAAAATATTCTTTGATGAATATTTAGTAAATGAAAATAAGATAATCTTAAAGTTAAATAGTCGTTTATTTTTGCATAATGACTATTATGAAATCAGCAATAACTTCTCTTCTCATCTATCTATTGAAATAATCATTCGAATAATTAATGTAAATCATATATTCTTCATTTTCAAATAAAATTCACGAAATGCAATTTAAAATGATTTATTATAATTATTAGAAAATTAGAACATTAAAAAAATTAATTTTCAACGTAAGAATGTGTCATAGTTCTTTGTAAACATAAATCAACGAATATTCTAAATAATTTATTTCAAATCGAAGAATTTTTTATTTTAAAATAAGTTATACCATTCGAAAACCTTTGAAAAATTATTTTCAAATCTAAATTTTGAACTCTTTCTGAAAATTCTTTTAAGAAATGCACAGAGATCTTCGAACCCATCTTCAGATACTATTGTAAAATTTTGTTGAATCCTAACAGAATTGTATTTTACACCTCACAGCAACATATTTTACTATTGAAGATGCATCTTTTTTTAGTATTATTTAGCGTATTTCGATTAGATCTATTAAATGCATTATCATAAAACATGATTCTCAAATATTAGATGCGTCGAATGTAATTTTTTTTACTCAAAAAATTAGTTAAAAATGATCGTTTTTTTACGAAATTCTTTTGTATTTTTGCCCTAAAAGTATACCACAGCAATTGACTCCCAAAAATCTTTTAATATCAGAGGGGATAACCCGTAAAAACTGCATCTTTCGATGTATGATTCAATCGAATAGCGCTTGACAGGCTGATTCAATTTTTCAACACAAATAATGACTACTATACGTTTCTTCTTTACTTTTATTATTATTTTCTTTTCAATGCCAATGTCGTGGATAAAGATGTATGAATCATTTCGAAGTCATTTTTGAATATCAATATATGAGTCTATCACTCAATCGAAGAATATTTTATCATAATTAATAACTATTTCCAAAACTCTGGTATGTCATGATCTTCCAATATGCACTAATCGTTCAATGAGAATTTGCTCGTAGACTTAATACAAATAATATTTTCATTTCCAAGTCAACTTTATATTATTTTCTTATCTCCTTTGATTTGATCGTTTACTATTGAAGGCAATCGATCACACTTTCTTTACTCTCAGTAATATATACGTATTTTGATGGCGTCCGACCTGTTTTTGTTCGAATGTACTGCACATGAAATATAATATCAAAGATATCGGAGTGTGGGTGTGGAGTCTTATTGAAATAAGACCAAAATTAGTTCTTGTAACAATGTATAACATACTCGAAATCGTTTCAGATATCAATAAACCCAGTGTATTGTGTGAAATAAGTTTTTATTCATTATAAACGAAAAGACGATCCTCTATTTTCTAACACATAGAACTTCTTTGATAAGGACAAAACAAATTTTGACTGCTGAACCTTGTGCGAATACTAAAATTTCAGGAGAATATTTGTTACCTAATAACATAATGAGCATTTCGAATCATAAAGAGGTTCATGTCTTAAATTTACTAAGCTACTAGAACTCCCAATTCGACAGGCTTAGGAAAGGCTAAAAGAACGACTTTTTCAAATCTATATTTGTGCAATTCTTCAGGATTCGGGAGTTCAATATCGTTTTTTCTTCATGTTTGAAGTAGCTTTTCAAGTTAGTCAGTTGAGCATCATGCACTGATTTGAATTAGACATGAACTTATTTCATGCAATGAATGGACTTTATTAAGACCGTTCAGAAAAGTCAATGTTGATCTAACTTATTGATATTGTAATCTATAGATCTTTAGATTTAGCCAAATGTTCATTCTAGAATGCATTATAATGTGTTGATTTTATGATCAGATTTAAGAATATGAAATAGATTCTTCTGAACCCTCAAGCCGAATAAAATAACCTTTTTTCTAAAAACTTGGACTCAAATCTTTCAAGCGTTTCAGTTGTCTTTTAGTACTAATGGAAAAGAATATGACGTAGTGCTAGGTATGATAACTAAATACAACGCTCGAGTATGAAAAACTACAGAATGGAATATAGATGTGGATATGATGTCGACAAACTCAAGGCTTACAGCCATAGTGACACCTAGACTCTGTTTTTCATTCCACAATGTCCAATTCCAATTTTTGAATCACTTTGAAGTCTCCAGTTCAAATTTTAGGGTGTGGGTGTGAATGTGAGCCTATTCTTAACCCACACCCACACCCGACCATCACCTAGTAACCATTCAGCAATCTTTCAAATCATAATTCTCATAGCGATTTGTTCAATCAGATAAGCCAATGACGAATCATACATCATTCAATGCAGAATTTCACGCTCCATCGAATAGGCCACAGTTTGCACGAGTCAATGCCAATCACAAAGAAGTTTAGCCCGTGAAATCCTTAGCAACCCTAGAAAAAAGCGGAATTTCTCGTAAGTACTTCTCATAGCAATTCGTTCGTGAACATGAGCCACTGATGAGTGATATGTCGATCGATGCCGAATTTGAAAACCTAGCAAACTGTGTGTGTGGCTCATGGGTATACAAATATTTTATGGCCTAGTATGTTTGATAATTTGGAAGGAATATGTGCATGAAACGGTAAAGTTTATGAAGAGCGGTCTGAGAAGTGTCACCAGTGACATGTACGATATGAATCGATGTGAAATTCGAAGCTCTTTCAACTGGTGTGTAAATGATATTTAATGAATGAAGTTTGATCAACGATGCGAGCGTATATTATTTTGGTTTATGTAATCTTTTTGTGGTCGGTTCGTTTATATCACATGTAAGAGAAGTAGTTTGCATTTACTCGTTTAGGTAGGGTTTACGGAATCGAAGAAGCTTCCTTTACTTGAGCATCGATGGTCAAATTATGTTTCATAAGATAAGCATTTACTATTCAACTATACATGAACAAAATGTACAAACCAAATAGCTTCAACATAACTAGTAAGAAAAACAACCAGGTAACAGACTATAACTGATGATTACCATACTGAACGCAACGCTTAAAAACCCTTATAATATTGTATTAATGAATAGCTTAAGTACGAAACAATCAGTTTATAGGCTGCCGTTTCGACGTTGTCATAACCACCATCGTTTGCTCGTGCACTTTTTTTCCATATGTGATTGTATTTTTAAAACATTCTGAGTTTTAGCAATCGTAGGTATGGGTGTGTCAGCAGCTGTCAATCTTTACTGAACCCACAACCACACATGATTTGCTAGGTTTTGAATTTCTACGTCGATTGATATATGACTGGTCGTGGTTTATGTCCTGGATCAAATCGTCATCATGAGTACCTACCAGAAATATGTTTTTTCCTGAGCTTCCAAGGTTCTTCTCATGGGTCAAAGTGCTATATGATTGGTCTTGAGTCGTGCAAGCTATACACCATTCGATAGAGTGTGAAATTCTGCATCGAATGGTATATGACTCGTTAGTGGCTTATGTTCTTGAACGAATCGTCATGAGAATTATGATCTGAAAGATTGCTGAATGATTGCTAGGTGATGGTCGGTAGTTTTTCGAAGTCGGTAGAGAGGTATTATTTGTTGCTGTAGCCATGAATTATATACCATTAGATAGAGATGTGAAATTTGGCATCGACTGACGCATGAATCATTGATGACTTATTTGTTGAGGTGAATCGTCATGGTTTTGACGAAAAATGGGAATTTTTTTCTATGTGCCTTATGAATTTTTTTGGGTTTTCCGCAGTCCAGTGGAAGTTTCGTTGGATTCGATGACATCGTTAGAGAGAGCTCGTCGAGTTCTAGGTGACTTACTAGTTTTCTTTTGTGGCTTAGTCTCTCAGACAAATCTTCGTGGAAAATACTTGAATCGGCTGCTAACTTTTATTGCATTATATTCAGAACTTTTTTTTTTGTATAGTTTGTTAGAATAATGAATTTTTTGATTAATATCAAGTTTGAATTCAAATAGATTGGTCTTTATCATGCGTAGTGATGAGTGATTTCGATATTGGTAATTAATAAAACTTCATGTGTGATGGATAAATATCAATTACTATGACACTGATTAATATGATCAACTGTTCTTATTGTTAATACTGAATAAAAATCTTGAGTATTTTAATTTATTTGTTAGAAGAATCGACCATTATAATTGTTGTTTGATTCCTGTACAATATGAAAAAACGTTAGTGATACAAAAGATCTAAAAGTTGTTTTCCTATAAAAGAACTATGATTGAAAAAAGATAAATAATAATAGATAAAAAACAACGAAAGAATTGAGTTAGTGTTTGCAATTCGTTTATTATTTCCTTTATCTTAACTATTAGAAAGCAGTAGTCTTTTTGAAAATTTCAAATTCAATTGTATGATATTTGTTTAAAAGTTGTCATGTATCGATCGTATTTATATGAAAAAGAAAAAAGAATTTTCGTTCTATTTTTAAATATTTAATTCGAATTAATTTAATGTTTAATTAAAACGACTAATAATGTAATTAATAAAGATAAATTGAAATTGCCGTATAATAAAGTTAACATGATAATATAAGATAATGTATAACCAATAAAATTTATCTATAATATCTCCTTAATGTATTCTAGTTAAGATAATTAACATATCTATGCATTTAAATAATCGATTAAAAAATTAAAAAACTAATTGAATTTTTTCGATAATTGTTTTTTGTTTAATCAACATTTTCATTTATTAAAATATTAAAAAAAAAACCGATCTAGACATTGATCAATTGTAAAATAAAATAAAAATCGTTATTTGAATTAAATGAATCGATATTCATTGTTTATTCTATTTGGTGTTAATTTAATTTGTTAAATATGTCTGATATTCGTCGTGATCGTGAAAAACCTTTCTCAGTATCAAAATGTTCATCAATGAATGAACGTCAAAATAGTAAAGATGATTATGAAAATAATCATCGTAAAAGAACAAATTCAAATAGATCAGATAATCATTCAGATTGTCAAAGAACGTAAATTTAATTTTTTTAAATCTTACAAATTTTTAATATTTTTTCAAATAAAATATATTTTAGTTCAAATATTGATTCGAAAGTTTATATTGGAAATGTTCCGACAGATAATTTAACTGATAGTGAATTACTTGATTTTTTTAAATCATTCGGCAAAGTTTCAGGTTTTTTCTTCTTTTTTATTTATCTTTTTTCTAAATAATTCGTTTTTGTTTTAAAATTAAACTAAAGATATTCGAGTCTATAAAGGTTATATGTTTGTGCAATATGATAGAATAGAAGATGCTCGAAGATTAATTAAACAAGGTGAAACATGTTTACTACTTAAAGGAAATAAACTTGGTAAAACATTTATTTTGAAAAAATATTTATTTATTTATCTAATTAATTAATTAAGATGTTTTACCAGCAATGGATGTTAGTCGAAAGAGTAGACAATTATCCTTAAATGAAAGATCATCAAAAGATCATCAAAGGTTTGTTTTTTGTTTAGAATTTTTGTTCCTAATATAAGATTCATTTTTAAAAAAAGCTTTCGAGAGGATTCATCAAGAGATTCTCGTCGACATTCTGATTACGATCGACAATCATCAAATTATGAACCTCCTAGAAAACGATATTCATCAAAACATCATTTAGATGATAATCATCAACACAGATCGAATTTTACTAATAATAATTCAAATAATTATCGGTTAGTTTTTTTTTAATATTTTTTCTAAAATTCAATTAATATGATACAATTTAGAATAATAGTACGACTCGTTTTATTCTAATAGACGTCGTTATTTAATTACATTAAGAAATTTCAAACAATCATTTTTCTTATAGAAAGAAACCTTTTCTTGTACTTTGTAAAAACTGCTGATAAAATATAACTTTCATTGAAATTTTTTTGTTGTATTGTTTGAAATAATTCAATTGAATTGATTTTATTCTTAGAAAAATTTCTTTTAAAATATTGGCTAAGACTATTAGTTATAAGAATTAGAAAATTTCTCGGATAAATTGATCTAGTTAGAGTTTATAAAATATATCAGAAAAATCCAATATAATATAAATCATTTTATTTATGGTAAATAGAAAAAAATTCATCTATATTTTCTCGTCAAAAAAAAAACGATTTTTTGTAGAATATTATTTTAGTCAAAGTTTCGATCTTGAAACAACGATTTGAGATTTCATTTGTAAAATATTTAAAAGAAATTATTAAATTGTTTTCATTTTGATTAATTTAGTTAATCAATAGTTTTTTTGTTTAGTCAAATTCTCGTCAACCATTAAACATATTTCTATTATCTTTAGTTTCGATTCGGATGAGGTTTTATTTCCTCATAGTTTTGACTTTATCAAGTGTTAAAACATTGGGTTCCACACATCTGTTGTTATGAAATTTTTCTTAAAGATTCGAAAAAAAAACAAATAGATTTTTTTAATATAAAATTGGTATTTGAAATTGATTCATAGAAAAAAAAAAACAACAATTTGATATAAGCGAAATCAGCTGTTGTTTTTTATTTGCGATTGAAAAAAGTTGAAGTTCTCTTATGAATATTACTATGAATTTTGTCAAGATCAATTTGAAAATAGTTGTCCGGACAAAATAGTATAACATGATTGATGATAACGAGATGACGATTCATGTGATTTATTATTTGGAGACCG